ATGATGCCGACACAGGACTCACCGTCCCGGCTGGGTGTGATGCCGACACCAGGCTCACCGTCCCGGCTGGGTGTGATGCTGATGCTGGGCTCGCCATCGCGGCTGTGAGCTGTCGGTGCCATTGTGCCCACGGCAGAGCCGTGTCTGTCCCCGGTAAGACGTCGGGTGTTTCTTTGCCAGCCCTGGCAGCAGGTGTAAGGCAGCGTTGGGTGGCCCCCATCGTTAAGCTAATTAATTAACGGTCAATCCCGCCCAGGCTGGAGCTAATGGTGATGTTGTGACGGCAGCGATGAGCTCAGGGTTCTGCCAGGGGAGCGGTTCGGGGGTTTAATTGTTTATTAATTTGGCGGAGCTGGAAAAAGGCGATGTGCTGGTGACGGCACGTGCCCAGCGTGGATTCACACTGGCTCCAGACGTGTCTCTTTGCGGGTGGGACAGCAGAAAAGTGGCTTTTGCCAAATTGCTTGGAATTGCGCGGCCGGGATGCTCCCAAGCCCGTGTGTTGTGCCGAGAACGTGACCGCTGGCGTGTCCCCGGCACAAGATGCGGGTCGAGGTCCCGGTTTTCCATTTTTCCAGCCACAGCTCTGAAGATGAATGTGAACCTGCGGGAGCTGTACCTGGCCGATAACAAGCTGAACGGGTTGCAGGACTCGGCTCAGCTCGGCAACCTGCTGAAATTCAACTGCTACATCCAGATCCTCGACCTGAGGAACAACCACATCCTGGACTCGGGTGAGGACCCCTCGCTTCGGGCACAGCCCCTGTTTCCCGGAGTTTTGACCCCGTTTTAAGGTGATTTGGCTGCGGGACGCAGAGCTCGAGGGGCTGCTGGAGCTGAGTCAAAGCAGGATGGTTGCCCAGAGCAGCTTCAACACGTCAAAAGGATTTTGTCAGGATAAACCTCTCAGTTTTTTAAAGCTCAGATCGTTAGAGAAGCTCTCATTGCTTCCTGGGTGGGTGGTGAGGTTCTTGGGGATGCCTCGTGCCTCGGAGTCGTGTCTTTGGGCTCCGTCTGGCTCTTGCTCCCGTCTGGTTTTTCCCCTGAGCCAAACGAGCGGCCAGATCCGATATCGACTTGGAAATTGCGAAATAATCCCAGCCCGGACTCCAGTCCTGCCTGGTTCTGGTCAATGATGCCGATGACTCGGCCGAGCGTCACGGTTTGGCGGAGGGACGGCTGGGAGGACGCGAGGGAAGGGCTGTGGGATCCGGTGGGATCGGCGCCGGCAGGGGAGGGCTGACCCCCGCCCCGGGTGTTTTCCAGGCTTGGCGTACATCTGCGAAGGGCTGAAGGAGCAGCGGAAGGGGCTGGTCACTCTGGTTTTGTGGAACAACCAGTTGACTCACACCGGCATGGCCTATCTGGGGATGACGCTGGTGAGTGGACCGTGACGCCTTCCTTGGGGAGCGATGGCTTCCATCGCTTCTCACCATCACCACCACGGCCGGATCAGCGGTGGGACAGACTGGCCAAGCGGGTCGTCATGACATACCCCCGGCACTGCGTCAGAGGAGAACCTGTCCCCCGTCCCCCTTCGTGGCCGATCGTCAGCCCTGGCCTCAGTGATGTGGTTCCAGGTCCTCATCCCCTCCGCCTCAAGCTGGTTTTTTTTTCCCCCCACAGCCTCACACACAGAGCCTGGAGACCTTGAACTTGGGCCACAACCCCATTGGGAACGAGGGCGTCCGTAATCTGAAGAACGGGCTGATTGGGAACCGCTCCGTCCTGCGCCTGGGCTTGGCGTCCACCAAACTCACCTGCGAAGGTGGGTGGAGGCCGGCGCACGCCGGATGTGCCGGCCACGACCCCGGTTGGGCTGGTGACTGGCCAGTGACAAAAAAAAATCACTGGTGGAGTGGCCCTCGCTCCTGAGCAGCACATGGCCATCCCCATCCCATCCCAATCCCATCCCCATCCTGTTCCTTTCCAACTCAACCCATCCCAATCCCATCCCGTTGCATTCCAACTCAAGCCAACCCATCCCCATCCCAACTCAACCCAGCCCAATCCCATCCCATCCCTATTCCCCTTCCCATCCCCATCCCATTCCATCCAAACTCAACCCAATCCCATCCCCATTCCATCCCCATCCCAACCCAACCCAACCCCATCCCATCCAACCCCATCCCATCCCAACCCAATCCCATCCCATCCATCCCAACCCAACCCAGCCCAGTCCCATCCCATCCAAACCCATCCCATCCCAATCCCCATCCCATCCCCATCCCGTTCCATTCCAACTCAACCCAACCCAATCCCATCCCATCCCAATCCCATTCCATCCCAATCCCATCCCAAAACACCCTCCTGCCCTTGCCCCTGTCCCATGGAGCACATCCAGGGCTCACCACTGTCACCCTTGGGGGCCCAGCGGTGTCACCCTTGGGGACCCAGTGATGTCACGATCAGGGATCTGGCGGTGTCACCATCAGGGATCCAACGGTGTCACCCTTGGGGGCTCGGCCGTGTCACCGTCAGGGATCCAGTGGTGTCACCGTCAGGGATCCAACGGTGTCACCCTTGGGGGCTCGGCCGTGTCACCGTCAGGGATCCAGTGGTGTCACCCTTGGGGATCCAATGGTGTCACCGTCGGGGATCCGGCAATGTCACCCTCAGGGATCCGGCAGTGTCACCCTCAGGGATCCGGCAGTGTCACCGTCCCCTCTCCTGCCCCCACAGGTGCCGTGGCGGTGGCCGAGTTCATCGCCGAGAGCCCGCGGCTGCTGCGCCTGGACCTGCGGGAGAACGAGATCAAGACGGGCGGGCTGATGGCGCTGTCGCTGGCGCTGAAGGTCAACCACTCGCTGCTGCGCCTCGACCTGGACCGCGAGCCCAAGAAGGAGGCGGTGGGGGACACGTCCCTCGCTGTCCCCCTCCCACCCTTGGAAAAAGGGAGGTCTTGGGAAAATGCCGGCGCCTCCAGCCTTCCTCTCGCTTCCACCGCTTGGCCATCTATTTTTTTTTTTTTTTGAAGCTGAAATTAATTCCCTGCCCATCCTTGAAATTAATTTTCTTTAAGTTTAATAATTCATTTTCTTTCATTTTTATGATCTTTAATTAGTGAATTAAAAATTAATTTCTCATCTGAACCCACGGATTTCACTTGCCCTGCTGAGGTCTGAGCATCCCCAGGGATGAGAATCCCACCATCCCAGCGGTGAGAAACTGCCCTCGGAAAACTCAATTTTCGAGCAATTTAATTATTTCATGGGGAAACATCAATTGCATCATACAAGGAAGAAAAA